GGTAATGGGGAGCAGACAAGTTGCGGTAGGGTGGCCGCCTTTACGGACTTATAGAATCAACAGTTTGGTCAACCAAGCAAAGTCCTTGGCCACTGAAGATGGCTTGAGTTCTGACATTCGAAAGGACACAACAAAGAATGGCGTGGTGGCTGCGAAGAACGATGATGCTGGCTTTATCAAATCTACCAGAATTCCCATGCTTGTGAAGGTTACGATGGACGGAGTTATAATTGGAAGGAAGATTGATCTCAATGCTCTGGATTCTTATGAAGCCTTGGCCAAAACTTTGGAACAAATGTTTTTCCAAATACCTTCTTCTGTACCAAGTCAGTTCTAATTAGTAATTCCATTTTCATGAGATTCCAATTTTAATTTTTACTTTGGATTTTGATGATTGATCAATTTGTAGGATCAGACACACAAGTATGCAAGACAATCAAGGAAATACGTGCTTCGGAATTGTTGGATGGCTCGTCGGAATATATCATAACGTATCAAGATAAAGACGGAGATTGGATGCTTGTAGGAGATGTTCCTTGGCTGTATGTAATTTGTCCCTAATATCTTCTCATTCATCATCTGTGTTTGTTATCCATCAAATCCTTTCTCATGTATAATTGTTTTCTTCTTCTCAGGATGTTCCTCGGGTCCGTGAAAAGACTGAGAATCATGAGAACATCAAGCGAAACCGGAGTTGGTAAGTAGAGATTCCAATCTAGCAAAAAGCTCGTTTCTGCACTTGTTGAGAAAACATTCTCAGTCATACACATCTTCTTTCAGGTGTAAATGATGGAACAGAGAGATAAGAAGAGAATTGATGCAAAAACCATGTTTTGGTTTCTCTTCAATTCATACACTTCTCTTTGGTCTGTATATTGTTGTTAATCACATTCACATATACACGAGTGTATATATATGGTCGTTTGTGAATATTAAACAAATGCTTAACCTTTCTAGTTGAATCTCTGTATATTTAGGGTTTATCACTCCAATGGGCTACTGACTCAATATAGCTTGAACTCAAATTTCTGTCCTTTTGATCGCGCTGACTCCAAATCGTCAGAGTAATTTGTTTGTTTCTTTTACTTGTTGATTGTGCCCATTTCTGATTCTTGGCAGGAAAATCAAATGAAGCAAGAAACTGGATTAGGATTTAAGAATGAAATCGAACTATATGATAGAATCACCAGTAGTTTCATTTAAATCTGAAAATGAAATACAGTACTTAGAATAACAACAACAACAATCAATCAGCTTCACTCACAACTCAAATGTAGCTTCCTTCTTGTTTTTCAAGGGTTTTCTCGAATAAAAACCTCAAGAACCTAATAAATCTACCAATAAAGATAACACAAACTCTTGAAAGAGAAATGAAACGTTTCCTTAATTGGCTCAATTATTCTTCAAGGTCACGGAGATTGGACTCCTAACTCGTTGCATCAGATTCCTAGAGTTGACCCAAGTCAACTGTCCCTGTGCATAGGTAGCCACTTTCTCTCCTCTGTTTCTCTTCTTCAATACAAACCAAACTCGATAGCTCAACGTTTGATCCGCGTGGTTAAACACGAGTCTCTTAGGCTTTACAATCACTTTGATTCCCTCAGGAGCCTTAACATTCACTGTGTATATCGAGTTAGGGCTCCCAACGTTGGTCACACGCCTTGTGATCATCTCCATCGTCTTCCCACGTTTGAAAATGACGGTAATCGACGGGTAATTGAGGCTAAAACCCGGGTTTTTCTGCAAGATTCCGCTGCAGCTCACGTTCTTGTGAGTGATAGCTAGAATGTCTGATCTTGTGAATCCAATAGTGCATAAGTAAGTGATGTAATCCACCGGTTGAATGTTGTAAACCAGTCCCGGGTTTATCGCCTTTCGCGGATTCACGTGTCCTGCTCCAATGGCAAACACTCCTGCTGGTTTGTTCCCATCTTTTATCTCTTTCCCTCGACGATCATACATATCCGCGGTTGTCATCATTGCGGATTTGATTGCAGCAGGAGACCAGTTCGGATATGTAGACCGGATAAGAGCAGTGATTCCACTAACATGTGGACAAGACATTGAAGTACCTGACATTACAGTGAAGTTAACTCTTCTTGAATCATAAGGAAGTCCGGTTGGTCCAAGATTTTGAGGCCAAGCCGCGATGATATTGACTCCCGGAGCAATTATATCCGGTTTAAGGATCGATGGATTGGCTAAACTCGGTCCTCGAGCTGAAAACTGAGCAACTTGTGGTGCTCTTGACCGTCCAATCACTGTCCCACCAAAAATGATCTTAGCCTTTGGCTTCACTGTGGCATTAACATAAGCTTTAAGAAGAACTGACTCGGAGTAACCGATCAATGTAGCTGGTAAGAGATGAACGTCGATAGAATCTTCTTCTTGGTTGATCTCTGTATTGGCTAAGATCATTGCAACTCCTCCTGCTTCTTTAATCGCTTGTCCTTTCTCCGATCTTCCATTAAGACCTCGGTCACAAATCACCATTTTGCCTTGGATTTTGTCTCTTGGAAGTGACCCTCTCAAGCAGAACTCACTGCCGTTTTCCCCTCCTGTGACGTAAATCACCTCAAGCTCTCTCTCGGCTTTCTTTAAACCTTTACCGGGATACAATGACTCTCCGTAGAGTAGCTTTCCGTTGGCTAATCGTACTATAGCGGGAAATCTTCGATCAAGCGTGCCTGCGCCAATGGTTGAGACCCAAGGAGCTGTGTTTGCAACCGAACTTTCGATCGGACCGTTGTTACCAGCTGCACAGATTACAGATATCCCTCGTTCCATGGCTCGAAAGGTTCCAATGGCGATTGTATCATCGTACAAAGGAATCGGGAAACCGCCAAGTGAGAGTGAAAGAACATCGACTTTATCTTGAATCGCTACATCTATCGCTGCGAGAATGTCAGAGCTGTAACAACCATTGAACCAACAGACTTTGTAAACCGCAATGTGAGCTCCAGGAGCCATGCCTCGAGCTACACCAGCTCCATTACCGAGAACATTCGCCATCGAAACAGAGGAACCACCAACTGTTGAAGCCGTGTGAGTCCCATGTCCGGTTGAATCTCTTGCGGATATGTATTCACGAGGCATGTTTGGCGATTCCAACGGCGAATTAGCCACACGGTGGCCTCTGATGAAGAATCTAGCACCGATTAGTTTTCGGTTACAGCTCGAGGAACTGAAACTCTCTCCTTCTTGGCAAATACCTTTCCATTTCCTTGGAACAGAAGGCATTCCAGTATCGTCAAAGCTAGGACTTTCAGGCCAAACTCCGGTATCAAGCACGCCGATAATCGTGCCTTGTCCAAACCGAGATTTAGACCATACACCGGAGTTTCCAACACCATCGTCAAGTCCCAAGAACTTGTAAGAGTAAGTGGTTTGAACCTGAAGAACATGGTCAGGTCTCACTGCAACAACTTGAGGTAAATTCCCTAGCGTCTCGGCCTCTGCTTCGGTTAATTGAGCAGCAAATCCTTCCATGGCAGATCCATAAGAGTAGAGAATCCGTGAAGAAGGCGAAGAAGGCTCGTCGTCTTCGTCTTCAACACCTAAAACTGCTTCTTGGAGAAATGAAAGATGCCAATCAAACTTTGAGCTAAAGGTTTTAGCGGTTTCGGTGTTAGGATGAAGCTGAATAATGTAAGTCTGTTTCTGCAGGGTTTCTAAG